ATAAACTATATAAACTATTTTTATTTGTAATAAAATTTTTTTACATATATTTACAATTTGTAATATGTAATTATAGTTTGAAAAAGACATAAATATTTTAAACATATTTCTTAAAATATAATCATTTAATAAATAAATATATGTAATGATGTATCATAAACTTTAAAAAAAAGTAGGAAAAAAAAATCCTTCAGATTGGAACCCCGATCTGCGTCGTGAGAGACCAAGCGTTTTCCAATCATCCACCGCGCACTATTGAAATAAACATCAATGTTATCGGTACTTGTAGTATATTTACGTAAGATTATGTTAATCCCTTTTTAAATTAAAATTATTATTTAGCATTGCTCTTTACGATTTATTTTCTTTATTTTAAGAATGGGAAAGGGAAAACAATTTTTAATGCAGATATCTTGTACGATTTAAAAAATATAATTTTATTGTACATAATGTTTAATGAAAATTATAAAAACATATACAAAAAGCTATTTAATCCGAAATATTCTCTTTTTTTCTACAATCGTTTTATCAAACAAAATTCGGTTTATTGGAGTATTAATCTTTTTTTTCTATTCTATCGCGAGAATAACATATATATATTCTAGACATATATATTACGTAAAGTTATTTCATTAAAATAGCACATATTGATGTTTATAGTATATATACTATAAAATAAATATTAAAAAACAAGATTAATACTTCAATAAACCGAATTTTGTTTGATAAAACGATTGTAGAAAAAAGAGAATATTTCGGATTAAATAGCTTTTTGTATATGTTTTTATAATTTTCATTAAACATTATGTACAATAAAATTATATTTTTTATATCGTACAAGATATCTGCATTAAAAATTGTTTTCCCTTTCCCATTCTTAAAATAAAGAAAATAAATCGTAAAGAGCAATGCTAAATAATAATTTTAATTTAAAAAGGAATTAACATAATCTTACGTAAATATACTACAAGTACCGATAACATTGATGTTTATTTCAATAGTGCGCGGTGGATGATTGGAAAACGCTTGGTCTCTCACGACGCAGATCGGGGTTCAAATCCGAG